CACCTCTCCTATGACGAAACGCTGTTGGGAGAGTTGGGGCTGTTCAGCCTGGAGAAGAGAAGGCTCCAGGGGGACTTTATAGCACCTTCCAGGGGGCCTACAAGGAAGCTGGGGGGGACTTTTTACAAGGGCCTGTAGTGACAGGACAAGGGGCAACGGGTTTAAATTGAAAGCAGGCAGGTTTAGATTAGATATCAGGAAGAAGTTCTTCCCTGAAAGGGTGGGGAGGCACTGGAACAGGTTGCCCAGAGAAGCTGTGGATGCCCCATCCCTGGAAGTGTCCCAGGCCAGGCTGGATGTGGCTTTGAGCAACCTGGTCTAGTGGAAGGTGTCCCTGCCCATGGGAGGGGGGTTGGAACTAGATGATCTTTAAGGTCCCTTCCAACCCAAACCATTCTGTGAGTCTATGAAACAAGAACTATGCAATTTTACATTAAAAAGCAGGGAACTAATGAATTTACTTGATCAATTTTCAATGATTCAATAATTCTTTATGTTCAATGAATCAAAAATTAATTAATCGTTAAGTGAGAGAGAACTTTGAAACACTTTACCCTGAAGTGGGAAAACATCTCGTGGTAAGTATTACATTACGTATTTTACAGATTAGAAGCTAAAGAACCAAGTTGTAAAATCTTAAAAGTGACAACCACAGGAAATGAACAGATGTGTATAAGACTTCCATTAAAACATCACTATCAGATTTTACAGCTCTCTTTGATTAATATCAACAGGAATCAGAGCCTGAAGATACTATTTACACTCCAGCAAGGAGAAAAGATTGATCTTGTAAAAAAAGAATTTAATAACTGCATTTTTACTTAGTATTTTTTACTAAAATGAAACTTTATTGGTCAAGTTTGTAGTTTGTAAATGTCATTAATCTAATCAAATATCCCTTTACTGCTGAAATAATACTTATTACTGGGAAATTAACCAACCTTGGTGCTATAAACGTGTAGCCAGCTTCATCAAAATGTTCAGGCTTCAGTGTTTCTGAAACTACAAAGATGAAGAGTAAACCCCAAGTAAGTAAAATGCGCCATTTGCCAACATTTTTCTTTTCACAATATCTGACTCTCTTTTGCATGCATCCACGAATTTAGGAAGAAATGTTTATTTTGAGACACTTCAATACTAATATACCATATACTCAGTATTTCACAGTATAGGAAGAAATTACTTGACTACTATATACAACATCCAGCTGGTAACAATAACATATCTAACAACTTACTTTGATAAGACATTTCATTAGCATGAAAACATATGAGATGTTTTCATTAGAATTACAGTCTAATACAAAGAAATATTTGGTACACTGAGTTGTTAGAACATGAAGAAAAATGCTTCTAGGATATTCTGCAATAGGGTTTAAGAGATGCATCCATATAAGCATCATTTTCAATGCTACTGAGAATAATGGTTTTAAAAGCTGGTGTCACTGAACACTGATAGGACCAGACAAAGAAGGATTAGAGATTATCAACATATCAAAATGTGCATGAAAACAGAAAAATTTTTTTTGGGGTTTTTTTTTTTTTCCTTTCTATTGCTATGGTACCCAGTGATGATGGGAAAAATCCTGAGATGAGAACTACAGAGGAGAATATCCAGTAGGAATAGAAATATAAGTGAAAAATATCAACTGCAGTAAACAAAAGGAAATTGAGCAACAAGAATATACTTGCCCTTTTTGATTGCGACTATCCATCAGAAAGAGAAAGCAGGGAAACAGAAAAAAACAGGGTAAAGCAAAAGGGGTCACAAAACAATATTTTATTCAAACAGCCCCTTGAATAAAAATATTGTGCATAGATAGAGCAAAGGTTCAATTTACATACAGCTGTAATTTGGAAAAAAGACAAACATTTTTGAAGACTGAAGAATATGTCTTTCTCAGCTATTTCTCAAGTACCTTCTATATACTGTGGCTATTTCAAGGGTCTGTTTTGCAGGTTATACTGGCATAAGTGCAAAACCAGATGATCTAATTCATAAAGAGAAACATATTCATTCACTAAAACTTTAATTTTAAACCACTTACTATTTGACAATGTTACAAAATAAATCTCTGATTATTAAAAACTTGCTATATCCTAGCCCATATGCAGGACGCGATGGCAAAAGTGATTTAGTGCTAACCAAGTTTTCTCTAAACTAACATTATCTATGCCTGTCACAGAGATTCATAGTGCTTTTCTAACTTTCTAGTTAACTGCATATTTGTTCAAGCTTATCGTAACACTTGGATAAACTTAAAAGAATGTGATGGGTTCTATTTTGTCTACTATCTAGATTACAGTTACCTGCACCTAATAATCAAAAAGCATTTGAATACTCACAAATATCATCTCCAGTTATCTCTCCAGAATCTGTAAATGGCTTGAAATTGGTCTAGTCCAAAAATACATTACAGGCATCCACTAAAACTAATTTTAGAAGGCAAAAGAAAAACCTAGCTGCACGCCAAACCAAACAGTGCTTGTTTCTACGGGCAGCAGAGGTAATTTGCTAAATATTTCTCTGTAACTACTGTAAAAATAACAAAACAGGCTTTACTCTTATAGTCTGTACTACGACATTTAGCTAATAGAAGGAGAAAATAATATCCAGACCCTTAAAATGACAGCAACAGAGGATACACAAAGCAATGATTCTATAGGCACAGAGCAAGGGGAAAGGATTGTCAGTGGAACTGGGGTACCTGCACATATTCTATCTGTATAGAATATTTCTTGTACCTTGGATGTTACAATGGGTTAGAATCATTGCTGCAGATTTTGGGTACATCATGATAACATCAGTGAATTCCACAAAATTTATGAATTTTAAACATTGCTTTTTTGAGTGAGTCTGAGACTTGGCAATACTAGGTAAACTCAGGGAACCTTCACAGTACTTACATCTGGCTTGAGTTATTGGTTCTTCTATTTTGGCTTTAATATAATAAAAGCTGTATGATGGTAACACCAATGCCAAACTGCAATAGAAGTGAGACAAGTAAAGCAATTATGTTATTTGCAGCGGTTTTCCAGTTTCAGCTTCTGTGTGTTTTGAAAGCAATAAACAAGTTTGGAAGTTGGATTATCATGATACAAGATAGTCACATAATGAAATACCAGCCTCACACTTTGTAAGAAACACAAGCAGGTTCATGCTGGTCTTGAGGTTCCCTGTCCTTGTTTTCCATCTTATTTATGCTTTTAAGTATAAAACCATTTTTTAATGGATAAGCGAGGAATTTCCAAATAATTGCAAATAATCAAATACATGATTGCTTGTATTTTCCTCTATCACATTTGGCATCCTAATGTAACACATCAAAGTGATCACTGACTGTAAAAATCAGCATGTGGTATTGCACTGATTTGTATGCATCATATATCATATCATACTCTCCTTTTACTAATAAAACAACTATTGGCATTCATTAGGAAATGTATCTGGAAATACTTGAATTCAAATTACATTCAAGATACAAAATGTTTTCTTGAATCATGCAGTCACCACTAAAATCCTTGAACATCATTGTGCAATAACATTTTAAGATTTGCAAAGCATTTGCAACGTATTTCTTTTAGATTATGCTTATTTTTGTTCTTTTTGAACTAAATCCAGTATGTGTATTCCCACATGTTCAGTTCTAAAAAGGTATGTAAAGGACAGGAGGTACAAATAGTCATTAAAAGCATCATCTACCATCTCGCATCCTTAAATTTTGCACTCAGTTTTCATCACTGTAGAACTGCAATGGTTTCTAATGGATAGCCACAGAAATTAACCTTAAAAAAGTTGTACAATTGAGCCATAAATGAGATGACCTTTAATGATACATTTGCCATTTAAACAGAATGTGAGATCCCTGAATATGTAATGATAGACTTCTACCAATTTTCCTCTGAGGAAATCCGTAGCAGTTTACCTGTCATTAACAGTTACTGCTAGCAGAAATTGCTAATTAAAATCCATAATTTTTAATTTAATAGGTTTTCTGCCATGTGACTCCATGGATTTATTGCGGTATCTCATGCCAGGAAACTCAGTAAGAATTAAGTCGTCATATAAATCAAATGCATTTCTTTATTGATCGCCGGACGGCTTAGTCTGGTAAAAAACCCCTTTCTTTCTTACTAAAGATAGAGGTAGTTCAACAAAAAAAAAAAAAAAAAAAGGGATGCTGAATCAAAGATCCTACATTTGTGTTCTCTTAAAACTGACATGTTTGGTTTTACATGCAAATTAACAATGGCATTCTCATGGGCTGTAAACCTGTGCAGAACAAAACAGAAAATGGGAACCAGCTTGCCTGAGGACTACTGAAATTCATCACCATAAAAACACTATTTTGGTAAAACTTTGACTCAATATTTTTACCATTGAGTTTTAACTAGAGCAATTTAACTTTTCTGCAACTTGGTAAACTTAAATTTGTTCTGGATAATGTCAATTTCCTACATTCCTTCTAATGTTACAGAGCTGTGTCCTCTGTAAACAAATCTTTGAAATAATATACACACCAATGTTGTCTTCAAGGAGAGATGTGCTTTTACCCATTACTTCATTTGCTCCTGCTGCCATTCACCATATAGCTTTTACACACATAATTACCGTTACATAATTACAAACATAATTTATCTGTAATAAATAATTATGGATTTCAGAGATAATCAGTAGCGTGGTTCCTGCCTCTGTAATCTGACATGAAGGTTAGCAAAGTCATGAGATCAGCAATGGCTATGACTGAAAAAGTCATGCCCAAAACATGTCATATTTTTTATCTAGACAAAAATATTGCATCTTCCTTTTTAATATGTATATTAAAACAAGAATATGTAGACAATGAAAAGAAAAGATGAAATGGGAGGAGGAATCTAAAAGAAAGTGTACAGTTGAGAATCAAAGTACACTGTGATACAGAAAGTAGGAGGAAAACCAAGATCTTCGACATCAATCATAAAGAGCAGTTTTTCCTGCATACTGAAATACCCTAGTGATAAATCTCAGCATTTGGATGAAAGACTGAGGTTCTGGTCCTTAGACAAAGCCACAATTCTGATCTATAAAGCAACCCAGAAAATCCTACAGGCCTAGACACAAGATGATCTGTTACTGATTGTTACTGATACAGCTAGTATAGAAAAGGTCGCACAAAAATATTAACCAAAATAAACAAAAAGGACATTTAACTACATGAAAGAAGTCAGAGAACAGAAATGAGTTACCTGTAATCAGTGCCATTCACAGCAGTCCATGTATATGTTCTGTTTCCTTTATCAATATATCTCTACAAAGAGATATTGATGAAAAATAAACTATTAACTCTGGAGCTTCAACAAGCATAGCCTTTTCTTGAGAAATACAGTGTGAAATCAAGTACAAATCTGTTGGAATTCTATTTAATATTTTGCTAAAAGCATGAGCTGAGCTGCAACTCCTTCTCTTAAACGTTTTCCAAACTTGTATTATGAGAAAGAATCACCTATATCCTTTTTACTGAACATTAACAAAATACAAATTTCAATAAACCCAGAAAAACATGACCTATCATTTACCCTTTTAAACTCATTGGCCAGGCCTATGTAAACCTTCTTCTATGTTATTTAAATTAAAAAAAAAAAAAAAGGTTATCTCCTTCCTGGGCCATTTTCTAGTTGAATAATTAAAAGAAAAAAATTCAATTATAAATATACTTTGTAGATAACTTTAACAACAGAAAACCCAGTGCCTGTGCTTTCAGGTCATAGTACCACTGGCTAAATGCATTTACATCTGAGTCATATCTACAGGCACAGCCAGGTAATCCTGATTGTATACACACCCCATTCTAAATTTGTATGTGTTTCTTATCTCATTAGGAGGGCCTTGTATTTGTGAAAAATTTAACACTGAAGTTAATGTTTAGTTTTTAATAACTTAATACATTAGGATAAGCTTTACTATTTATTGTCTTTTGGTATGAAAAATAATGTGATCGACACAGTCCCACAGTTCGCCATAGATTTAACCATTAATGCACCTGCCCAACATTGTTTTACTCAATTTTCCACTTTGAAAACTACATGTTTATGCCAGCTTCAATATATTATTTTACAATCAGAGATTTGTAAGCAGGCCAGCAATGAAATCTGTGCAGCTGTTGCACCACAACTTTACAAACATCGGTGGAAGGTCCCACAGGTATACCTCTGCATTACCTCTTTCAAAACAAAAAGTGTAAAACAAAAGTGTGAAAATAACCACGGGTCTTTTTTGACATCTGTAATTTGAAACCTTCTCATTACCTGGCTGCTGCTTTTCAGTACAGGTATGACAGTGTAAATAATTTCATAGTAATTTTGGAAAGAAAAAATGGAAAATAAAGGAAAGGGAAAACAAAAAAGATGCATATATCAATGTCTAATGTCTTGATATATTTCATATTTAAGGTAAAAAGCTAGTTGAAGATATTCCTATCCAAGCCTATTTATATTTAATAAAGTGCCTATACTATTACTATTACTATTACTTCAATAAGAATACTTATTGACACTTGAACCTAGCGCTGCCATTCCCTCCAAGCAAGACACAGTGCCGTGGGTTGCACACCATGGATGCTGGCAAGAGAAAAGCAGTGTGCAAGGTGGGAGGGAAGGAAGATAAAAACCGGGCTCATTACATCCTGCTGCCACCAGCACCGTGAACATGCATGAAAGCGAATTGGCTGAAATCTCCCTTCAAAGATAACCCAGCTGATCACACGTCCTCATACGTCAGCTCCTGTTTGCCTACTGCACCACTGAGCCGTCGGAGACCCCCCAATCCTCAGCTGCTCGCTGCAAACAACCTACACACGTTCCTGCCGTTTTTGTGACCCTTCAGTTTTCACTACTGCCCACCCCGGCTGCCCAAATGTGGCAATGCTTTTGTTCCTATGGCATCCCCTCTGCTAGCTGGAAAGCCCCTGAGGCCTTGGGAGACTTCAGCGCACCCCACCCACGCTCGCTACGAGTCCAGTCTCTATGCTGTTGTATGAGGTCATCTCCCAAGACACTGCTGGGCCCAGCTGCAACACAAAAGGAGAGCAATGCAGACTTAAACCAAAAAGCAAAACAAAAAGGACATCAATTTTAAGCCTCAAGACTGCAAATGTCAGTTCCTTTTTATAAGAAAACGGAGGAATCTATCAAGTCCTAAGTGATGCATGGCTCATGCACGGCCCATGGTCTGAAGCAGCTTTATTCTGGCTTTAGCAGCCTGGAGCTGGGACGGTGCAACGGCTTGAAGCAGTCACCGTTGCCAGCCATCTCTGGCTGCTCCCTTCTTCTCTCCGAGGTCCAAGTAGAGGAAGAAATCTTGTACCATGGTGCAAGTGAAGGCGAGGGAAATTAATTTGATTGTGCACTTGAAGCATCTGACACATTCTCATGCGCTCAGGGACATCACATCTCCGCTGCCCACCCCGGTGCTGCACCCGACTCCAGCGTTTCCAAGTGTAAATGCTTCCCCTCCCTCCCTCTTCGGGAAAACAGTTGCAGGACCAACTGTAGCAGGCCTTTTTTTGTCACAGCCTGAGAAATGCATGGACAGCCTGAGACATCTTCAACAACTTTGCTATTTCTTGTGTAACCTCAGTAGAGCAAGTACAACCTTACTGTATTTTTGTGACCTAATGCTCCCTTTTCTAAATGCCTGCACAGAGCCCTTTTCACCCATAAACTGGAAAGGCACTCCTTAAACAAAACAACAACACAAGTCTGAAAATCTCCCTGAGTCCCTCCCTGCAGGAGCAGCTTATCCCCGGCGCGGATGTCAGCAGGACTTTGGACTCTCCAACAGCGGATCAGGAATGGCCCAGTCTCCCTTCAGAATAGGTGGACAGGCTGGTGGTTTCTTAGACAAAATGGGCTTCTGACCCAGGTGAGGTAGCAGAACTGACATCGGATGGGGCTGACCTCCCCAGATGACTCTCTTTCTACAACAGTAACTGCGAGGCCTACTCTGTCCACAACTGCTCCTTTGGCACAGCAGTCATTATTTCTCCTCATTAAGGTCCCCAACAATTAGAGCATACATGTAAGAATCCTTATCAAATTTGAGTGTCTCCTCATGTACATAATATAGCTGTAAGATGAATTTGCTTATCCCAAATATTCTTCATTTACGGGATATAAATATTATATTTATTTTCTCACTACTTTCTTCCCATTCAACCACAATATAAACTACCAAAACCATCCTCACACATCTTTGCAAGCAAATTAAGTACTTTCTTTTGTGATTCATACATAGAAGTAGGCTGGGTCCATTTCCTGGTGAACAGAGTGTAAGACCTCATCAACAACTGCCTGATTAATGATGCACCAAAGAAACCAAGAAACAAAACAATTCTTCTTTTCATAAGTGCATAATTTCTTTTACTATAAGCCAGTAAAACCAGCAAATCTAGAGGGAAAATGATACAAACTGACAAAATTAACATCTTTTCACCATTTCACAGTGTTTTTCTGGTTTTGTTTGTTCCTGTAAATGTAATTGCCTGTGTTCCTATCTTACCTCATCCTGGGACTTGACCAGTGTTTCAAATGTTTTTTCTCCACTTTCTCCATCTATCATTTTTTTCCGAATCTATTGGCAAGAAAGAAGAAATAAAAAACCCCACGAACCTAGGTGTTGCATGTAACATGAATAATGTTTTCAGTGATTTGAAGTACTTCATACAGACACAGAAAATGGTAATTCATATGAAAGTCATAACTCTAAAAAAACCCGGTAAATTTACAATTTTCAGATTTTTCTAATTAGAAGTTACTTTATCCACATACATACTTAATGGGCAGAGTTATGAAGCAGCACTTCTGGTGTAATTTACATAGCAAGACCATCCCATAAACCTCCCTGAAGTTGAGCACTAGAGAGAGTATGAACTCTGTGTATACGAGAAGGAGTTTTGACTAGCATTTTTCATACTTCCCGGCACATCTGTGATTCTGGTAGCAGCAGTGATTCACAAAAACATTTTGATACCAGTCTGAGCCTAATTCCTCTTTGGATCAGGATTCAAAGAATCTTAAGGTGGAATTTGACAGATACCAGTAGTGTCATTGGGAAAGAACACTTTCAAATGAAGTGAGTAAGTAAGTTTAAAAAATGTAAAATGTTCTAAACCCCCCCATTTAATTTCACAAAACTAACAAACTCTTTCTAAAAATTCTGATGACTGAATATATTACAAAACTAGTAACTGACAAATATACAGAGGATTTAATTTGTTGCCAAAACTTAATTTCAGTTCTTAGTTTTCTCTCTCACCACAGCAACAATCCTGTGTTAGTAAGAGATAGGGAAATACTTTAAAAATTTCAGGAAATACATTAATATCCTATTAAAAAATGTTCTTTTCTGAAAAAGTTAATAAACCCCCTCCCCAGGGATTGTTACTTAATGAGGAAGAATGATTTAAACAGCAATCATGGTGCCTTTCAAAATGAGAGGAATACAATGCTTTGCCCTTGCCTATGAATAATACCACTTCTCAGTTTGTTTCATTAAAACTTTATCTGTCTATAAATTCATCATTTTGATGCATTTAAAATTGAAATTTATAATTAAATAGATTACCATTCAAAATCTAAAATGTATTGCTTTTCAGTTATCATACAGTAAAATAGAAGCAATAGGTACTAAGAAACCAGGTAATCTCACCTCAACTTTAATATCATTTTCCAATTCAGCATCTAAAAAATCCAGTGTAACAGGTTCCTGGGATTTAGGATTCTGAAGCAGAAGATATTGAATGATGAAATAACAAAGACAGAGTATAATGTTAGAAATCATTCTAATCCCTCCATTTCAAAGTAATGTACTTAACTGGGCTTACTTACCCGACTATTTTAATCTCTTACAGCATGATGAGTTAGTAGTGGCCCTTTCCCATTTATTTTATTTCACTGGGTAGAGCGAATATAGATTAATTGGGTAAGTGAAAATCAAATTAACACTAAAGGCCAGGGTCTGTCCACAGTGTGTCATGTATGGAGCTCATGTCAGGAAGCTGCTTCTCTACTGCTGTTATGTCACAGGCTATAAAGTGGCAGAAGATGCATCAGAGGAAGCAATCTCTCATTAGGTGTCTTGCATCCATGAAGGGAGAGAGAAATTTGGGATAGTTTTCCAGATGACCAGGAAAATGGGGCTATTGCACCCTTCTGCAAAGCAGACTGCAGACTTGCTGTTATGAGGTTGGAATGGACTGCTGCCCAGTCACCGCCAAGATTCAAAGAGGCAGCAATTCTAATATGAATTTCTTTATTATACGAAAATTAAAATCACTTTTACTGACAGCATTACAGGACTTCCCTGACCAGCTTGCAGTTTTGAATGCATTTTGCTTGACATTAGTACTATGAACTCAATTTAAGAGATGGAAACCTCTAGCACAGAAATACTACAACCCAGCAGCTTCAAGACCTAAGGAATATACATGACATCAACCCTTGACTATGGAGCACAGAGAAGTTTGGTGGTATGTGTCTGTAGGAACCCTGGTCCCATAGGAGTGTG